AACCGGAACACTTTTTCCAGTTACACATTCATGCTTTTTCAATAAAAAATTTCATTTTTATGCGTTTTTGCTGTGCAATGTGATAGCGCTATGCAGTGCAGCCAACAAAAGCGCATATTGTCGAGGGATCGTTGCTCGAGAGTGAAGTTTGTCACCTACTTTCAACTCAGCAACCAGTAAAGCTGGGAGGCTGAAATTTTGCGGTCATATTCCCGCCCCGTGCTGTTACTGATCGGTTTAAAGCCTTCGCTCATAAGTGCCTAAATTTCGCGTACGAACTATCAAAAAATATGCAGATTTCTTCGGCGGAAAACGATTTCGTGAGCCAGGCAACATATAAAACTGAAACCTTGCACGTTTGAATATAGAAGCGAAAGATTTCAAATTCAGCTATCGCACATGCTTATACCACGTGTACGGCTACATCAAAGTTCGCAGTTGACACTGTGTTAACTTGAAAATTAGTCGGTAAACAATAACTGAAATGTGGTCAGGGTGTTTATCAATCACATGAGAAATCACATACCCGAACAAAGTTTCGATATGTGCGACTTAGGACACTTCAAACATATTTATAGCGAAATGACTTTCGCTTATCAGGCAAGCTGAAAAACGAAACTTTGCAAGGATATTCTTTATTCACTTGCAGTATTAATTCAGCTTGGAGGTCAAAATTCCTACACACAGACATGACAAACACCCAATTTTGTCGCAGTCTCAAAAGCTAGTGTATTTTGTAGATTTCATAATCCGCTTTCGACTCCTTCAAATCTGCGTTTTTTTCGAAAGGCGAGCATTGACCGGAAAAACGACTGGTCTTCATGCAAAAAACTGATAGTCCTGCTCCTGGAAGTCCATGCGGTCCTATAATGCAATACTTCCATCCCAACCGACGCCTTTTCCTCTTGCATGCGGAAAGCGACTAAAACACGGCCAATGTGAGTTCAGGTATTAGGCTACAGCGCGGGAATCATTCCTGCTGTTAAGGATCTGAAATTTTAGAGTAAAAGCGCAAGAAAGCACCGGCAAGCCTGGTGCGTTGCAGTCTGAGTTGTATCTGCATATATTTCAAATCGCATAAAAACACAGAATGAGCATTAGTGTGATGTAGAGCCATTTGATAAATAGAAGCGCGAAGAGGGAAGGAGAACTATTAATCTGTTTCCAAACAATGTATAAAGGATAATGAGGAACAGTGGAAAAAGCTTTCATTAAGTGTTGATTGACTGAACGAAAAAGCATTGCAAAAGTACGGTAAATTTCGATGGTTTGCTTTCATTGACTTTTCATTTCATCGCTGCACAGTTCCTCTTGAATTATGCTGTTGTTATAAACTTTTAGCGGATCGATCTTCGTACATGGCAAATAGCATTAAATATGCATAATTTTAAAGGAGCTTATAGGATTACTAAACACCACCCAGCACGAACCCTTCCTAAACACCGATTCCAAACCCATTCTTCCTTGATGCCACCTTTACTAACATGGACATATTTCTTGGTTCTTTTTCTTCCGCAAAATATTTCTCCGAAAGCAATTCGAAATGGAACAGTTCCGGCTGAAGTTCAAGGTCCTGAGCAACAGGACGACTGGCTCCAGAATCTTGCCAGTTGTTTCGATGATTTTGACCCTCTACCACATAATGTTGATTACGATATACCTGCTCCTCTGTTGGCTACTATGCATCAGCAGGAACTGGGGTGCTATTGTATTCATATCGATACGGACCTACGTCCTCATGTTTCAGACCCAGTTCTTTTTAATTCAACAACTGCCACCGGTGACGAAGATTCTATGCTTTGGGAATCTATTCTGTCTGACATTCAACGTATAAACCAAATATCAGAAGATGAAGCCAACAAAAATGTTTCGGAAGCATATTCGGCGGAAATTACTGCTGGAATAGTGCCTGAAAAATTTGCTGGTGTATCTAATATCCAGGCCAAAGAAAAATTAACTTCCGGATATTCCTATCCTTCAACTTCCCGCAGTGCGGAAAATTTCTTTTTTCCATCCGAAATTCAGTCCACAAATGAAGTCTTAGAAAACGAAAAATTCATGGCTAATTCGGAATTTATTAGCAGCCAATATGCTGCCGAACTGCCGCATACGAACTCAACGAAACCAAGTGCTGTTTTTCAATCGCGCACCGATCCGGTTCCTGGACCAAGCAACAGCACAATTGAGCATAAGGAGACAAACCCGATGGAGCAGTTTGATTCTGTCAAATGTCAGTGTGGCTTTATTGGAAGTATACGTTGTCTGAATTCGTTTGTGAGTTTCCGCCTTCATCTTGAGAGCCACAATCAAAATCGTAAATACTGCTGTCACTGGCACGGATGCGGCAAAAATTTCAGTAATTATCGA